TGGTATCCCAGGTTCAGGCTGGCTTTCTATCCTCGCAGCTGCTGCCAGGCAGATGTCAGATGCATGAACTGGTACTGTACTAGATACTGGAGACAGAATTAGCGGGATGCTTGCAGTGCAGCTGGTACCACTTGTTGCCACTCTTCTCATGAAACACAGTGAGCTGACAGGTCTGGATAGTCCTGCTGTACCCATTTTTCATTTGTACTGGCTCATGTAAACCCTGAATCCACTGCTCTTCAGCTGACATCCAGTAACTTGCACAAAGCAGTTACCAAATTAAGGGAGCTGGTTGTCAGTTTTCAGCTGAGGAGCAATAATCTCTCTGACTGTTCTGGCTGCATTAAAAGATGCACGCTTGTCTGTGCCCCAGATCTCCAGCCCATTGCCAAAGGATTCAGGAAGCTTGTTCCAGACTTGATAGTTCATCTACCATCACAAGTGGATGAGGCTTCACACATGTAAAACTTGCATGGCAATTTTATGGCTTTCTTGGCTTTTTATGCAGATGTCTGAACATTACTGGGCTCCACAGAGTAATGTATCCAATGAAACATCAACTGCAAAAACCTTCCAGCGCACTATTTCAGCACAGGTATGTGTCACAGTCTTGGGACATGATGTTAATCTTGTACTATTTTATTCTTTGTTTTTGAGTTAGTGTCTTCAAGTTTGGCAACATTAGCATATTCCAGTGCACTAAAAGCCATCCTTCCTTTAGAAGCCCAGCTCCTGGGGTTTTTCCTAAAAAAAAAAAACCTAACCCTTAAAAAACATTAGTCAATACCTCACAATTACCTGTGGTGACTCAGCCATCTCACTACAGCAGCTATATTGTTTCAGAACCAACTTTAAAAAAAACTAATAATGATTATGAGATGAAGGTATCACCATGGCCTCTGACACTCTCTTGAACTGTTTCCAACTCAGGACACGCTGGCCTATGCCACAGCCTTGCTGAATGAGAAAGATCAGTCTGGAAGCAGTAACGGGTCAGAAAGTAGTCCAGCCAACGAGAATGGAGAGAGACACCTGCAACAGGTAACAATAGAAGAAGGGCATGTTTGTCTTCTGTTGCGTTGCTCTGTTAGCCTGTTCCTGGGGCTCGGGTCACTGAATGTAGATGCAGTAATTGTGCGCTTTCCAAACATAACGTGCTGTGTCCTTTCTCTCCCCATCCCTTGTGTGTGTTGAAAGGGCTCAGAGTCTCCTATGATGATCAGTGAGCCTAAAAGTGACCTTGATGATGTTGACCCATAGAGGATACCTACGGACACAAGAACAGATCAACTCAAACATTTAATGCCTGGTACCTACTGAAACTGGAGTCCTGTTGCTTATGCTGTTAGAAGAGTCTGGAAGAGAAGTGGCTTTATGGGATTGGAGGCAATACTGGAGGAGGTTGTTTCCCTGCAAGCTAAAAGCATTCTTTAGCCATGAAGGCTTCAGATCAATCAATGCTCTAGAAAACTGCATCTTTACCTGCAGTAGCTTATGACAGTCCAGACACACTGAAAACAGTTTGTCAAGAAGATTTTATCAAATACACAAAAGCTAGTGGTTGAATTTTTATGTGAACATTAAATGAGTGAATGTAAAACTGTTGCTTTTCTGTGATGCTGCAAAAAAAAAAAATTCTTTTGGTTTTTATACAGGAAAAAAAAAACAAACAAACCAGACTGCCCTTATGTATGGAGGGCAAATTTTTAATCTTTCTGATAATATTGAATAGAAATATTCAAATTTCTGTAAAGATGTGTGATGACTTACATTTCACTGTAAAATATTAGTTAAAGAATGGGTTTACATAAGGACTTCTGTATTTAATATGTCTCCTTGCTGATTTGTAAAGCTCTTTATGAGAAGGATTTGTGAGATTGCTCTGTAAGGAGAGTGATCCCTTACAGAACAGTTTGATCGAGGAGCGCTGGAATGGGTTGTCTTTTCTGGTACCCTTCCTCAAACCACAGACAATTGGGAAGGGCAATAAAAGAGAAGCTTTGTTCTCCGGATATGCAAGTGTTCATTATTAAAGGGTGTTGGTGGATATTAAAAGAAAAAAAAAAAGTTAATGAGTAGTTTAAAAGAAAAAAAAAAAAAGCACTTTAAGATGGAATTCTGTTGCAGTTTTACTCATTAAATTTTTTTAACCTTTGGAGACATATTGAATAAAATGTAGTCTCAAACATGTGATTTGCAATCACTCGCTTATGCTTTGAAATTACTGAGAAAGTTGGTATTGGTTGTATATGATGAATAATTCCTTGAGTGAGTTGGAGACACTGTTGTGCAGATTTTATAGCCATTTTAACATGGGGAAAGAATGATTTGGCTTTGTCTATTCACTTGACCAGGCAACGTTTAAAATATCACAGCTCTTTCGGTTTGCTCACAGACAACTGGAAGCCCAGTTGGGAGCACAGTTTTGTTTTCCGTGTCAAGTGCAGTTCAGTGATTTCTGGCTCTGGATACTAGCTTCTCTTGTGCCAACTAACTCTTCATCTCTTGTGCGTTTTATGTTTGTCACATTTTCTGCACTGCTTTTTGCCTTTATTTATGGATTCTGCCTTACTTTAAAAAAAAAAATAAACATGCACAGAAATGGGGGGCATCTTAAGGAGTGCCTGGGTACCTCCAAGAATAGATCAATTTGCCAAGTTAAAGGCACAACCAGCCAAAAAGTGCCTTTTTTTTTTCTTTTTACATGCTGTTGCCGAAACCAGAAGCAGCAGACAGCTTTTCACTGTTGTGCACTAATACTAAAATTAACCAGTCATTTCACTGTTGGAAGTAAAACACCGGATTACAGCTGTACAGCTTTATAACTTATTGCGGGTTAAGAGAGCCATTGTCGTGAATCGCGTGTGCAAAGAAGTAAGGGTGGCATTGTAGTGAATCTCTCACTTTCTTTTTCCAAACAGTGTCTTCGTAGACACATGGCAGAGTTAGCATTTTATAAATGTTTCTGATGATGCGCTGGGACATTTTAAATGTGACGTTTGAAATTAATTTTGAGTAAGTAATTTCTTACAGATAGCCCTTCTTCCTTCCCCATCCCTAGTACTTTGGTAATGGATCATAAATCATCACGGGAAGCCAGTACACAGCGGTGATGGTGATGGAAGAAGCTGGTAATGTTCCTACGGGTTGACACCACTTGTCACTTCAGGTTCCTGTTATTTCCTATGGAAACAAAGTCCTCGATTTACCGCAGGCCCAGAGAAGCTTTGATAAGAGAATTGCATCAGGATGGCTCATCACCACTGTATACTTGAAACCAATACAAACTTTTTCATGGTTCTGCTCACGCTTGTACAAAGTCAATGGTTATGATTTGCAATAAGATGATACTTGGTCAATTATTTTTGTTTCCAGCTGCTGTCATTCAAACCTGCTGAAGATTATTTTTTGGAAAATAGAGTTCAACAAAACTAGTTTTTGTGTAAATTGTGAAGCATTTCTATGTTGTAATTTTTACTGCCAATCTTTTTGGATGAAAATGTTTTTATACAGCTTACACAATGTTCGGTGAGGAGCAGCCACAGCCTGCCTGTGAGCATTTGGGGAGATATTATCCGATTAATACGTAGACATTTGGCACTGGAAAAATAGGCAGTCTTGATGAACAGTCTTGGGATTCCTGGTCAATGGAATAAAGTTATTCCTTTCACAGAAAACCAGTGTAATCTTTAGATTGCGCATACGCTGCTATGCTGTTGTCTTTACGATCCTCTTATCTTGAAACTTCTTAGGCCGGTCCTGCAGATAGCAAGCTCTGAGAGGTTGCCCTGCTTGCCACTTTGGCTCCTGTCCAGAGTAAATCAGAGCGGCTGAATGGCCCTTGGAGCTGTGCTGCTGTATATCCCCGTGTTCTGGCGCTGTCAGATTTGTATCTGTGTGTGGTTTCTTCTCCTGACCTTCTTAGCCGGCTGATTTACCCTGGCTACGCCTGCAGACATGGATTAGATCGGCTTTTGTCTGTCAGAGAGCAAGATCTGCAGGCGATCTGGACTTGAATTAATGCTGCCTTTTCTCCTGGTGCAGAGAGCCAAACGCGCCGCTGTGCCAGGGTGCAGGCATTCCCCTGCTCACCTGTCTGCTGCCTTCCTGAGTGCAACTGGGAGCCATGGCCAGGGCTGCCGTCCTAGCTCTGCCCTCCTGACAGGTGCCTTTGTCCTCCCTTCAAAGAACAAAGATTTTGTGTGTTTCCAGCATGACCCAGCCTGTGCTTTCCACTGGCACTGCCAGTCCTGGGAGCATGGGCTGGGTGTTGCAAACAGGGTGCTGACAGGACTGGCCACAGCGTACCTGGGATCAACGCTGCTTTCTCCTCAATGAGAGAGGCTTTTCTGCCCACCCACATACAAGATACTAAGCAAGGGCTAATCTTTTAATATTGTTTCCTTCCACCAGGCTTATGCATGCTTGAACTGAGCTGTGAAAGCTGTGTTTGGCTAACTGTGCATAGAGCGTGCTCACACCTTCTGCTGGGAGCCAGCAGGTAAGCAGGCACCAGGATCTTCTCTCACAGGGAAGTCAGCAGAGGTGAAATCTGAGGCATATTTTGAGATGTCACAGACCAGTAAGTCTGCTGAAAAATTACTAGCTGTGTCAAAGCTGTTGAGGTGCTCTTAGGCTAACATCTCTGCTTGTCTTGCCTCCTTTGTGCCAAATTCAGATTATAGCTGATGAAATGAGGGTCTGTAATTATATACATGCTATGTAATTACATGTTTAAATTAGGGGTAGGCTTCTGCCATCTTTAGGTAACAAGTTAGAAGTAGTTTAAACCTTTCAGTGATGTTTCCTGCAGGGTCTCTGTCTTCTCTTGCCAATTAAAGCTGGAGCAGTGGATCTGTAAGGGGCTTTTTCATGGGGGAAAACACCTGACCCAGAATTGCTGAAGTCTGGCGGGTTAACCTGGTGCTTGTGGTGTCAAGCTTTATTTTTTCATCTGTCCTCAGGTAACACAAATTATGTATTATAGTAGCAGGAGGCTGCTAATCGCCCCCAGAAAAGGGAGACTGGTACTTCTCAGAGGCTTCAATGTTTATGAGTGTAGCCTAGTGGTAGTGGCAACAACAGCAAAGGGCACAAGGGCACATTCCCCAAAGCTGGTTTTTTTTCCTGTGACTGGAAGCTCTTACCCTACCCCAGTGTTTTAAAACAAACAACTTCTGTTCCTGCGTGTGCATGGGACAACACGACTCAGCCGCTGCTCTGTGCCCGTCCCGCAGCTCGGGCCAGCTGTGGGCGAGGGGAGGGTGCCCGTGCTGTCCTCCAGGGTCACCTCCTGCCACAGGCAGGGGCAGAGCCCAAGGGGGTGGCCTGTGGCCAGCTCACTAACGAAGCAAAGCTCATCCTGGGGAGCAGCATCCCTGCCAGCTGGGTGCCAGCTCCTCCTTTCAGCACGGCTCCCTGTAGGGACGTAGATGAATGTACATGAAGCCAAACAATGGATCGTATCTACTGGGCGCTGGTCTATCAATTTTATTTTAAAAAGACATTTATAAAATGTTTATTTATAAAATTCCAAATAAATATTTAAGGTACAAATGTAAAAACCAAGGTACTATGAAAGCTTTTTCTTCTTTTTTTTTTTTTTTTTCTTAAAAAGGAATTGCAGTCGGTTCAATGTGTCCTGGGAAGACCTGAAAGGGAAACTGTTAAAGCAACACATAACACCAGCAGATCATTAACTGACTTAGCAGCAAAAAAAAACCACTAACAAAGCAGTCGCTGACTCTGTAGCAATGCAGATTAAAATCTAATTAAACAAGCAGACTGTTTAAACTAGAGCCCTTGCACTTGATGAAAAAGTAAAGAAGTCTCCTAGGTATACGAGCAGGCAATTAAAGAACTGCCCCAAAATGGCTAAACTATGATTTTTCCAGGTGCTGAGCAGCATTAGCAGACATCTAATGAGCAACTAACCGGGAAGGAAAGGAGCAGCCCTCACCACAGAAGGGTTTTTTGTTTGCTTTAGAAGGTGATAGTTTCACTATGTGCTAGGTGACAACACAAAGAGCCTGGACACAGCCCATACAGTCAGGGGGTTTATAGAAAGACGCAGTGCATGGCAGGGCAAGGATGCCAGCAGGGCTCCAGCTGCATGGAGAGCTCTTCCAGAGGCTGTGTGTGAGAGGGTGGTGAGCTTGTACCCCAAAATCACGGCAGCCCAAGCCTGGAGGTTGTCAGCAGCCGCGTGTCCGAGCCTCAGAAAGGTACCGAGCTGGGGATGCAGGGGTCCAGCAAGGCCCCATCCCTGCTCCTCCAGGCACACCAGACCAGGCCAGCCGTGTCTCCAGCGCAGCCCGTCCCTACTGCCGGC